AAATTTTTAATGCTTTCCCGCATCTATCGTTTTCCCGCATTCATCGTTTTTATTTCCCACCCCCGCCGAAAACGATGCATCGAGGTTTCACTGTATTACATTTCATCACATTTGTAAATTTACTTACAGATGGCAATGCCGAAAAAGATGGACATGACGATATATCCAGAATAGGTGCTGCAAAAGGGAGTGGATGCAACAGCCAGGGTGCTCACCACCAGGCAGATGTTATTCAGTAATAAAGCGTCCACCCACGGGAAGTCTGCCACATAGCCACAAACAACCCTGCCAATGGTGTTTGTGATACCGATGATGGACAGGAGGAATGAAGCAGAGTTGGAATCAATACCCTGAAAGAAGCCATAGTTAATTGTTAACATTACAGGTAAAATCTATATCTTTACTTTACATCTGGAGTAATTCAAACGTAATGTCTACAACATACTACAATTGCTCGTAACTAACCTGACCTATGTTACACATATTTGATCTTCTGTCTTAGGATTTAACTGAAACAAAAATTGCTATTCTGAGACTCCTATTTACTCAAAAATGTTTTGAAATAAAATTAATTTTTTTCTCATCCTTCAATTGTCTTTTTCTTGTCTGACCCTTGTTTAGTTCTGTAACTAACCTAAAATTTATATTTATTAAAACTTCTTTTAAAATTGAATCTGAAAGGCTACTTAGATTAGAAAGGAACAAAAATCTGGTTTCTGAAATATAATTAATTATAAAAACATTTTCAGATAAACATTCTTTCTTTTGGTCTTTCATGACTTCAACAATTTTGAAAGGCATGAGTCACTGTATGCACATTATACAATTTAAATAACCCTTAAACTGATTAAAGAATAAGATATAGTACTATGACCTATTCTTTGTGCCTGTGCAATGAACATTTCAGTCACAATCTGCTTTTCCAAAAAAATTTCTGAACTGTTCCTCAGAGGTTTGCATTCAAAAGTTATAGATGGTACAAAAATAAACTTTTTATCTTTGCAAAGTTTAAAAATTGTTGAATAATATGTGATGGAACGGAATAAGAAAGCACGGGTTGTGTAGCAACTGGTTGCAGAAAGCATAAATCCCTTATAATTTTCAATATATTTACTGATTTTCTGAACATGTTCATGTACACACAGGATTGGATTAATGGTTTGTTTATATCACTGGGAATGGCAGTTGTATCACTGTAGATCCTTTATAAGACTTCATTTTATTATGAATACTGATTTGAATCAATTGCTCTGTATTACTGAAATTCATCTGATTATCGATTTCAACATCATTTTCTATTTTGGAACCATATTCTTTTACACTCTTTACAGGAAAATACATAGGGCAGTCAAATAGTTCCCGGAATTGTGGTATAGCACTATAATGGTAGAATATATGGCAACGCTTACCTAATCACCTTCAAAGTAGGACCCTTGCACGCGCACACACACTTGCTCCATCGATCCTGCCATTGTTGGAAACACCGGCGGAAGGCTTCGTTTGGAATCTTCCAGAGTTCGGCCGTCGCATTCGATTTGATGTCCTCCATGGTTGCGAAACGCATCCCCTTGAGGCCCATTTTCAGAGTAGGGAACAGCCAGAAGTCACTCGGAGCGAGATCCGGAGAGTATGGTGGTAGGGTGATGACGGGAATGCTTTTCTCGGCGAGGAATTTGCTGCACAACCAGCGATGTGTCGAATGCGACGGCCGAACTCCGGAAGATTCCAAATGAAGCCTTCCACCGGTGTTTCCAACAATGGCAGGATCAATGGAGCAAGTGTGCGCGTGCAAGGGTCCTACTTTGAAGGTGATTAGGTAAGTGTTGCCATATGTCCTACCATTACAGTGCTATACCACAATTCCGGGAACTTTTTGACTGCCCCTCGTACCATATACAATGTATTACGTAATTCTGGCAGAAGCAATGAGAAGTTTGAAAGGCGGTTACGTACGACGAGAGTTGCCGAGTCGACCAGGTACACGAAGGGCACGTACAGCCCCATCATGCCGAAGAAGTTGCTGATGCTGATGAGCATGAACACTGGGTCTTTGAGCAGGGTGACATCCATCATGGCAGCCAACGTTGCTTTGAATGATTCTGGCAGAGTCAGGCAGGGGCAGAGATCAGCTGCAAGATACAAATATTATCAGCGTTTATCATTTAAAACCTTAATTAACAGCATTTACAGGATGTAATACTTGAAGTCTTCGTAGTGATGAAACAAAATGTACGCAGGCTTCTTGGATGTTCTGCAATGTTGGTAGAGAATAAAACTATAATGAAGATGGATGTGTTCTTGGTTGTAGCATCATGTAGTCTAGTAGAAGTTTAATGATGTCTGAGATGATGAATCAGCCCCACTTAATGGTACCTGCACCTTGTCATGGTGGTGGAGCTTGAGTACCTCAGTGACCCTAAGAGCTATGCTGGCAGTAGCATAGCTACTGGTAGGGCCTCCCTAGCCAGACTGGTCGAGGAGGAGAGGTCAGACTAAGACAGGTACCCTGGTCCTCCAGGTTGGGGGTTGGTCGAAACCTCAATCAAAGCCTCGGACAGGCGGACCTAACAGAGGACAGAATGGAAGAGGAGAATTGAGGAGGCCATGGACCGAATACGGACCAGAGAGCCATAGAAGAAGAAAGAAGAGATGATGATGAATCAGCACTCTAATGATGGAGGCAGAAAACTCCTCTAAAATGTTGGTAAACTTCTACCAGACTACACTGTGCTACAACCCAGAAGACAGCCATCTTCAGACTCACGACCATGAGAACCTCAAACCCAGAAGTTCATGGTTTGCCTAATGTTGACTAAAAAAAAGAAGAATACAAAGAAACAAAAGACACTAATGAAGGATAAAAGATAGGAAGAAAAAAAAAATAGAGAAAACAATAACAAGAAAGTAAAGAAACAAAATGAGAGAGACAATGAAAGGAAATTTGTACAAAAAACGTAAAGTGCAATCAGCTGGAAGCGTAAGGACTGATCTTAATGTACACAGACAGCACTAAATAATTACCTCAAGATCTCCAACTATGCTATTTTGTCAACTGGATAAGCCTGACCCACCTGTCTAACTTTTATACTGAGAAGTGGGTAAAAGCTGACGGTTGGAAATTAATGTAACCAGACAGTTTATACAAATGCTGCGCAACCTACTGCCTTTCTCGATGTCAACGATGTCACCCCGTTCTTGAGCATACTTGGGCAATGAAATGACACTCTGACGGTAGCTGGAAAGGGACTTCTGTGATTTGAACTCTGGCAGGTTCATCACACTCCCCGAGTAGAAAATGTCCTTTCGGGCAAGAGGCCTCACCATCTCGCGTCGCTCCCGGGGGATGCTCGACTTGGATGTGGAGAAGGAGATACTTTCGTTGTCAGCCATCTGTGGGTTACACAAGTAAGATTTTTTTTGCTTTATCAGTTGGTTGCAGACATTTGTCATAACCATAAGAGATAAAATTATCATCATTAAGATGGTGAAAGAGCAGAAGTACCTGCTGTTCCTCAGCAAGAAATCACGTCCATAATGTAGAAAGGATTAAACCTGATAACAAGCCATGTTAGTTCTAGACAGAAGCATGACATTTCAGAGACCCTCTTAGCCTCTGAAACACTGGGCTTCTGTACAAAACTCGTCATGGCTTAGTTCAGTCGCCACGAAGAAAAAAAAATGTATTTACTTGAAGGTGACATACTTCATTTTCCTCTAAAATATTCATATTACTCAGTTCTACAGTTACTAAAAAATGAATAAGTTTCAGACATTTAATTTTAATACTTACTTTACTTACTTATATACATATGTGTGTGTGTGCATGTGTTAACCTCCGTGACGCCATGATATTACAAAGACAATGCCAAATCAGCTCAGGGCTGTCAAGTGTTTTCTTGAGAAAATTTCAATATGGGCAATGCGACAGAGATATTAAAGAATATAAAACATTTTCAGCATGCCATTAGTGAAAAAAAGATCTGGGAAGTCAGTAGTCATTTAGCCTGTCACTTGTTTGGTCAGCCAGTTATCCAGTCAGTAAGTCAGTCGTCAAGGAAGTGAGTGTCGCAGGCTGATACAAGAATAATTGTGAATTTGTCTCACTTACATCAGTTTTGGACCACATATCATCACAGTTGTTGTTACGGCTAGCTCCGAGGAACGAGGAAGTGGATAGTCTAAGTTGCAACGACTTCCTGATATCCCCGTTTGAGTTGATGTTCGGTCTTGACACCTTGATGGCTCCCAGAGTGGGCCTATACCGCTCGCCCATGCTCGTCTTTCTAATGCGGTCAAAGAAAGGTACCGATCCATTCTTGGGCAGCCCCTGCACGTGGGTAGTGAAAGCTGGCTGTGATGCATTGCGGGGCAGAATACCTCTGTTATTAAACTCCAAACCATCTTCTTCATTCTTCTTGTCATTATCTTTATCATCCTTCTCTTTGTCTTCTTTATTCTCCTTTTCCTTAGTGCTGTCTTGTTTCTCTTCTTCCTCCTTAACATCTTCAATTCGCCTTGCCTTTGTTTTGTCGCCATTTGTTTTTAAGTCTGCAGTACTGCCACTACTAGACGCTCCGCTGGAACCACTGTGGTCCGGAACTTTAACCTCAGAGATGGTTGGCAGTGTTGGTACGGTTGGTACTGGTGTTAAGGGTGTACCAGGTACCAACTGGTCCAAATTGAAGCTGGAATGTACGCCAGGGTCGATGTTGATGGGCATCTTGAGCCGTTTCTCCATGCTGCCATCTGGTAGTTGCACCATAAAGTAAGAACCTCCTATCGAACCTCGCTCCATTTGAAAGCGTTTTTCTTCTGCCATTCGCTGGAGCAGAGGTTTACATCTGGATTCCTTTGGATATTCCAGAGGGCGCATCATGGCTCCAAACACCTGCCACAATTAAACGCCATTAATTATTATTTGATCTTTACAAGAACACTGTGCTTGATACTGTCCATTGTCTGGGGCACTTTTGGTATACACGACGTTTCAGGAGTTTGTTCTACATCCGTCTTCAGATGTCTGGTTGTCATACTGACTCATCTATAGTAAGGGGCATGGGCTCATTTGTGAAACATTCATAACATTATTAGTGTGATTAAAAACTTCGAATTCGACATTGTAAGCCTGTTCATAAATGCCCCTGTACGTGGTCCAAAATATGCATGAAAACTTCGTAAAGGTTGCACTAGGACATAGTGACTTCAGACATAAGATCTGAATCAGATGCATAGATGACGTATTGACCATTACAAAATTGCGAATCTAAACTGAACATGTTCCTGAACCACGTAAACGGGCTGAAAGCATAATCCATGTTTACCACAGAAAGAAAGAGAAGTCAAACGCTGTCCATCCTCGGTGTACTAGTAGACAGAACAACGTAACCAAGACAAGTGTGTACAGGAAACCAACTCAGAGTGGGCAATATTTGCACCGCACCTCCGTCACCCCCTCAATACCAAGGAAGGAAAAGTTAAATGCCTACATAACAGACACAACGACGCCCTGAAAACGCAAGAAACAATTTCCGTGCGACATTAGTAAGAAATGGGTACCTACCAAGATTCGTATATAAGTCTCATACAAAGCC